GGGCCGTCTGGGTCTGGAGGTGGGCCGTCTGGGTCTGGAAGTGGGCCGTCTGGGTCTGGAGGTGGGCCGTCTGGGTCTGGAGGAGGACTGTCTGGTCTGGAGGAGGGCTGTCTGGGTCTGGAGGAGGGCTGTCTGGTCTGGAGGAGGGCTGTCTGGTCTGGAGGAGGGCTGTGTGGTCTGGAGGAGGCTGTCTGGTCTGGAGGAGGGCTGTCTGGGTCTGGAGGAGGGCTGTCTGGGTCTGGAGGAGGGTTGTCTGGGTCTGGAGGTGGACTGTCTGGTCCGGAGGAGGGTCGTCTGGGTCTGGAGGAGGGCTGCCTGGGTCTGGAGGAAGGCTGCCAGGGCAGCTGCTTCAACTTTCTGGGTTCCGCACTGCTCGCATCTCCCTCTGTCCCTGGTACACACAAACTGCTAGCTATGTTTCTGTGACTCTGGTTAGCTGAACCACACACTGGGCTCATGTAGGTAACTTGCTTGCAGTATGTGCCACATCGGTGTCCAGTCAGTACTGTTCCGACATGACACGCTGCACATGCTGCAGACCTGAGTGCGGTTGGCCTCATGCACAACGTTGCATAGTATTCCGTTGTGTATGTACCAGTGTTTGTTTATGCATTCTTCCACTGATGGGCATTTAGGCTGTCTCTGTCTTTTTGCTGTTGTGAATAATGATGCATATCCTGGCTCCAATGTCTTCTGGATATTAAGTAGAGGGATTTCTGGGTCATACGGTATTTCTGTTTTCAACTCTCAGGAACAGATTTGATGCATTAGGTACTAATGTCAAAGACCTGGAGAGTTAAGGGATGATATTAACAGTTTCATACAGGAGGAAAACAAAAGTTCATTAAGAAGACAAGAAACAAAAGACCAAGTGGATATCAGAAGAGACTATGAAACTTGCTCTCCAGTGCAGAGATGTTAAAATGGAAGAAATGAGAGGGTAAAAGAGCTGAGCAGGAAATTTCAAAGGACAGCTCGAGAAAACAAAGTCAAATATTATAATGAAATATGTAAAGATCTTGAGTTAAAAAGCCAAAAGGGAAGAACACACTCAGCATTTCTTAAACTGAGGAAACTGAAGAAAATATTCAAACCTCAACTTGCAATACTGAAAGATTCTTTGGTCAAAATATTGGATGATGCAGAAAGCATCAAAAAAGGAAAAAATACAGAGAGTCATTGTATCCTTCTTTTGAATTGTTTTTCAGTTAGTTCCATTATCTTTTCTTCCTCAGAGATGTTTTCTGGCTTTGCATCTTGGTCATTTGTTTGAGCCAGTCTCTCCTGTTTCTTCATGTGAGCTAAAGTTGTCTGTTGTTTCTGGGACAGTGTGGTGGTGTTGTATTTGCATTTAATGGATTGTATGTTGATGTGTCCTTAGGCTCTTGCCAACTGTCTCAGGTAGGTGTAGAGAATAGAAGAGTGTGCACTGTTTTCCCTTTGCCATTTGTGTACCTCAATGTAGGATGGTTTGACTGGTGTTGGCTGTGGTCTGTCTTTGATCAGGTGACTAGGAGCTGTTAGTGGCTCTTGGCCAGGCCAGTTGGTGGATCTACAGAAGGTATGGTTATGGCTGGGCTGTACGGGCACCATTGCCAACTCCTGTCAGGTGGGAAAGAGGAGAATACAGAAAAGAGAGAGGAAAAAAAGCAACCAACCATTAAAAGAGAAAATAATAAAGGAGAGAGCGGGAAAAAAAAAAAAAGAGAGCAACCAGAAGAAATGAATATAGTAGCTAAAAAGAGAAAAGAGGAACAGGAAAATGGAACTATAGAAGAGAGAAAAATGAAAGAAATAAACAAAGAAAACACTTGGAAACATCAGGAAGGTGAAAAGAGAATAAGAGTAGACAGTAAAGATAGATAATAAAGATGAAGAAAAAAAGAAAGGGGAAATAAACTGAAGAAAAGAGAGTAGACAGTAGTAAAGATAGATATAAAGGTGGGGAAAAGAAAGGGGAAATGAGAAACTGAAGAAAAGATGGAAAAACGAAAATGGAGAGAAGGATAAAATCCAAGGGAATGGAAAGAGGAGAAGAAAGAATAAATAAACAAATGAAAACAACAAAAGGAAAAACCCAAAACCCCACAACGATGCAGTTGTTGGATCTGGAGAGGAGAAGACTCTGGGCAGTACTACCGGCCCAGGAGCTCACGGAGTGGGGGAGGGAGACACTGACACCAGTGTCTGGCCCTAAATGGCGTTCCTTCAGGCTTAGGTGTTCTCTGTGTTCAAGATGCTTAATCAGGAAGTAGTTCATGGAGGCCTTTGGTGGAGCAGGTTGTCGTGTCTGTTAGGACCGCAGGGTGACTTATGAGGGTCTGCTGGCTCTGTGGGTTCTGGAGCCGAGCTCTCCCCACTCCAGGCACCAGAGGCATGTAGCTGGCCCTCACCTCACACTGGCATGACATACAACCATGTGGCTTTGAACTCCCTAAGAGCAGGGTCTTCACTGGGGGTGGTTGAGAATAGAAGCTGGCCACACCTCAGGTTACCAGGGGAGCATGGGGTAAAAGAAGGAATGGCACCTTTCCCATCACCTGTTGTGAATCTGCTCTGTGAGGCCACCTTCTGTTGCCAAATCTACTCACAAAAGTTCAAGATGGTTGTGCTGCATCTGGCCAGATGTTCTTCTCACCATCTTTCCTTGGCTTCTGCCAGCAACCATTCAATCCACTTCTGTAACCTTTCCTCTGAAGTTCAGGGTTACAGGAATTTCGTCTGTGTCTGTTTCATTTGGTCTCTTGCATCTTTGTTGTAGAGGGGTCCATGTAGTGCATCTGCCTAGTCTGCCATCTTGCCGGAAGTCCTCATTGTCCAACTTTCACATGTGTATGATGCGATTGAAAATACCGTGGCTTGGGTCAGATGCACCTTATTGCTCAGACTTTGCTCTTGAACGCTTTAAAGAGGTCTTCTACAATGTAAAGAGGTCTTCTACAATGTAAAGAGGTCTTCTACAGTGTAATACATTGTTTGCTTTCTTGACTACTGCTTTCATAAATGTTGATGGTGGATCAAAGCAAAATGAAGTCTTTGACAACTTCAATCTTTTCTCCATTTATCATGATATTATTTATTGCCCCAGTGGTGAGGATTTTTGTTTTCTTGACATAGAGGTGCAATCCATACTGAAGGCGGTGGTCTTTGATCTTCGTCAGTAAGTATTTTATGTCATTTTTGCTTCCAGTAAGCAAGGTTGTATCACTTGCATCAATAGGTTACTCATTAATGAGTCTTCCTCCAATCCTGATGCCACTTTCTTCATATCTAGTTTCTCAGATTATTTGCTCAGCATACAGTTTGAGTAAATATGTTGAAAGAATACAACCCTGGTGCACACCTTGCCCGATTTTAAACCATTCAGTGTCCCTTGTTCTGTTTGAACAACTGCCTTTTGGTCGGCGTACAGCTTCCTCTTGAGCACAGTGATGTGTTCTAGAATATCCATTCTTTGCTATATTATCTACAGCCTGTCAGAATCCACACAGTCGTAAGCCTCTGCATAGTCAATAAAGCACAGGTAAACATCTTTTCTGGTATTCTCTGCTTTCGGCCAAGATCCATCTCAAGTCAGTCATGAGATCCCTAGTTTCACATCCCCTTCTAAATCTGGCTCGAACTGCTGGCAAGTTTCCTGTCAGTTGCAGCCGTTGTTAAATTATTTTCACCAAAATTTTCCTTGACTGTGATATTAATGATATTGTTCAATAATTTCTACATTCTATTTGATTACTTCTTTTTGGAATGGGCACAATATGAATTTCTTCCAATCGGTTGGCTAGGTAGCCATCTTCCAAATTTCTTGGCATAGAAGAGTGAGCACCTCCAGTGCTGCATCAGTTTGGTAAAGGATTTCTGGTTTTGGTTTTTTGGGGAGCACGGACATGGTTATATTTTAATTAATCTCCACAAATTCCTCCATTTAAAAACACTTGTCTTGACTTCAGGTGCTTCCTCCCCTTCTCCCTGATCAGTGACATTTGGGGTCTCTTCAGCTTCTTTTGTTTCTGTAAGGGTCTCATACATTTTCTGGGCCCTGATCATTTCTTTCAGTGCATCAAATGGACTTTCTACCGGGTCAGGAGGGGAACAACTAAATTGAAATCATCAATTTGCCTATTTAATTTTCTGATGTTTACTTGAAATTGCTCACCTAGTTGGTTCCCCTGTCTCTGTTAGCTTGTTGTCATTGGATTCCCAAGTTTTTTTTTCTCGATGCTAAGATTCCCTCTCAGTTGCTTAATAGTATCTTGTATTTCCTTTTGCATTCGGATCCATTCTGGTTGATAGCCATTATCTACTAATATTCTGTTTAGGTTGTGAGTCATGGAATGAATAGATGAGCAGCCAGAACATTTTTTGAGGGTTTTCCTTTCCCTTTTGCCATCGATTCCGGAAGGAGATCCTCCACCAAACGCTCAATTGCTTGAGTTATCTTTTGTTTTTCACTCTCTCTTACATCTTTAATAATTAAACTGTCAGCAAAATACTGGCTGTGTGTAGTTTATGCTTCTGATATTCCATCACTTGTTCAGTTGCACGGTCTGCTCTAAATTGCCGATATTGCTTTTCGTTGACTTGGAGTTCCCAAACCAATAAAACTTCAAACCTGAAATACTGCTGGTTCTGGGGTGTTTTGTGTTTGAATTTATCGTCTTCTTCCGCATCATCAGCTGTCTTCTGTCTGGCATTTGTTTGTTGTATTCCATAAGAAAGCACATTCCTGTAAGCTTCTTCAATCTGAATAAACATTACAGAATCTGCTGTACTAGAACCACTGTCTGGATGGTATTGCTTGGCAAGCTTACGAAAAGATTATCTGACATCATCTGCAGAGCAGTCTTCATCAAGATTCAATGGCCTGTAATACTCTCTGATCTTCTTTTTGCATTTATGGGTTGACATCATTCTAGACCTAATGACACCAAAAGATGAAAGCATTTTCATTTCATTAGGAATCACTGAAGCATTTATCAGGAGAGATTTATGATTTGAGCCTTCATCAGATACATTGGGTTCATTATTGTACCTGTAGTTCACCACTGGACCAATAAACAACATTCTTATCCACGGAGAAAAGATTGAAGTTGTCAAGGACTTCATTCTTCTTGGATCAACTATCAACACTCGTGGAAGCAGCAGTCAAGAGATCAGACGACGTATTGCATTGGGCAAATTTGCTGCACAGGAACTTTTTAAAGTGTTGAAGAGCAGAGATGTCAGCTTGAGGACTAAGGTGCACCTGACCCAAGCCATGATATTTTCAATAACCTCATATGCATGCGAAAGCTGGACAGTAAATAAGGAAGACTGTAGAAGAATTGATGCCTTTGAATTGTGGTGTTGGAGGTGAATACTAAAAGTGACATGGGCTGCCTAAAGATCCAATAGATCTGTTTTGGAAGAAGTGCAGCCAGAGTGCTCCTTGGAGGCCAGGATGGCTAAGCTTCGTCTCTCATACTTTGGACATATTGTCCGGAGTTGTCCATTTCTGGAGCCTTGTTTTTCACCAATGCCTTCAGTGCAACTTGGATGGACTTCTTGCTTCAGTGCCATTGGCTCTTGATCATGTGCTACCTCTTGAAACGATTGAGCAGCGATCATTTCTTTTTGGTACAGTGAATCTGTGTATACATTTCATCTTCTTTTGATGCTTTCTGCATCATTCAATACTTTGCCCATAAAATCTTCCGATACTGCAAGTAGAGGCTTGAATTTTTTCTTCAGTTTTTAGAGCTTGAGGAATGATGAGTGTGCTCTTCCCTTTTGGTTTTCTAACTCCATGCCGTTGCACATTTCATTATAATATTTTATCCTCTAGTGCTTCCCTTTGAAATTTTCTGTTAGGCTATTTTACTTCCTTACTTCTTCCATTCGTTTTAGCATAACTATGCTGGAGTGCAACTTTCAGAGTCTCTCCTGATACCTGTTTAGTCCTCTCTTCCTTTTGCTTTCTCCCTGTATGTTTCTGATGTTATCCCGCAGCTCTTCTAGTCTTTGCTCATTAATTCTTAAATGCATCAAATATATTCTTGAGATGGTCTCTAAATATAGGTGCGATATATAGTCAAGGTCCTATTTTGGCTCTCGTGGACTTGTTTTCATTTACTTCAGCTTCAGCCAGAACTTGCATATGAATAGTTCATGGCCTGTTCCACAGTCTGCCCCTGCCCTTGTTTTGGCTGATGAGGTGGAGCTTTTCCATTGTTTCCTCCCACAGATGTAGTTAGTTTGACTTCTGTGTATTCCATCTCATAAGGTCCTTGTATATAGTCAGTCACCTTTTATGTTGTTTAGAAAAGCTATTTGCAATGTTGTTGGTCTTGTAAAATTACATCATGCGATCCCCAGCTTCATTTCTGTCTTCAAGGCCATATTTTCCGATTACTGATCCTTTCTCTTTCCAACCTTTGTATTCCAGTCACCAGTAATTATCAATGCATCCTGATTACAAAGAAGTTGGTAGAATTCTTCAATTTCATCATGACTGGCTTTAGTGGTTCATGCATAAAGTTGAATAATAGTGGTATTAAATAGTCTTCTTTGTAGCTGTATGGAGATGATCTTTTCAGACAGTTGTCCTTCAAGGTAGATCTTGAAATGTTCCTTTTGATGCTGAATGCTTTGCTATAACTCCTGAGCTTGTTGTCTTTGGCATAGTTAACTATGTGATTGTCTGATTCAAAATGGCCAAAAGCAATCCAGTTCAGCTCCGTAATCTCTAGGCTATTGAACCTTAGGCTTTCCATTTCCGTTTTGACAATTTTCCTAGATTCGTACATCATACATTCCATGTTCTGATCACTAATGGATGTGTGCAGCTGTTTCTCCTTATTTCCTGTTGTACCCCCCTCAGCAGATGAAGGTCCTGAAAGCTTTACTCCATTTGTGAGACATCATGGTCAGCTCTCCTTTGAGGAGGCAGCCCTTCCCCAGTCGTATCTGAGTGCCTTCCAGCCTGAGGACCTCATCTTCTAACACTGTAGCTGACAGTGTTCCACTGTTGTTCATAAGATTTTCAGTAGCTAAACCATCACAGGTAATCTGCCTCTCCTTCCTAGTCTGTCTGAATCTGAAAGCACTGCTGAAACGTGTCCACCCTGGGTGGGTCTGCTGGTATTTAAATGACCAGTGGCAGAGCTTCCAGCATCCCAGCAACACGCAAGCCACCGGAGTCCAACAAACTGATAGACAAGTGGTGGGCTTGCCTTACGGTCCTTGGTGTATTCAGGGTTGCTTGTCAGCACCATAATTCAGCACAGCGGATTTTCTCCAGTCTTATTCTTTCTTATTCACTGACCAGCGTTTCCATGTATATGAGGTGATTGAAAATACCATGATTTGGGCCTGGCACACCTTAGTCTTCATTTTAACACTTTATTGAGCTCTTTTGTAGCAGATTAGCACAATGCAGTATGTTGTTTGATTTCTTGATTGTTGCTTCCATGGACATTGTATATTCAAGTAAAATGAAATCCTTTATCGATAGTGTCAGTCTTTTTTCTCTCTGATGATGTTGCTTGTTGACTGTGTATTGGCTGATTTTCGGACGTTGATTGGCAGGTCTTCCTAGTTCACCGTAAGTTTGGAAGTGTCACTGCAGCCTACTCTGTATCATAGCGACATTTCAGTGTCCGCCAACAGTAGGATGCTGCATGACGGGCTGAGAGGTGGTATAGTTTTGTGGGTTTTTTAGAAAGTTTTTATTGTGAATTATGTGGGCTTACATGGGAGAACAGTTTTTACATTCATCCTATCGTATTTCGTTTCATTGCAATGATCACAATCCCTTCCATGCATCATCAGATAACCAAAGGGTACACCCCGTAAGTCTGTCCCCCGGCTGTCAACACACAGCCCCTCTCCCTCCCTGAGTCCAGTGTCCCCAGCTGCTCCATCTGTCCATATCATCGTCTCTGTCTCCATCCTTGGCATCACTGCCTCTCGGGGTAGGGTCCTGCTCTCCATTCTTCTCACTTGATGATCCCAGGGACCTCCGCTCCTGGGCTGCAAAGTCAATCTCTCCCTTCCTTTTGTGAAAAAACATCTACCTCTACATTTCCGACCCTCACAGTCAGTCCTGATGGCAATTATTCACTATTGTAGAGGTGGTGTAGTTTTGAGGGGTGGTTTGCAAGCAAATGTCTGTCAGTTTCAAATGTATTTACCTTTTGACTGAATAACTTCACTAAGGAATTTTGCCTACAGAAATATACAAATTCACTGGAGCATTCTTTACAATCTCATTTCTAATCACAAAATGTGAAGACATGTTAAATGCCCACCAGTAGAGAGTGGAGCAAGTTTTAGGGTATTCATATGTGAGGGGGCTTCAAAAGTTTGTGGAAAATCCCATTATGTTTTAATTCATTTTTCCATGAACTTTCTGAAGCCCTCTCGTAATGAACTCATGTTAACTATTAATTAAAAGTAAAACACGTGTATACATACCTAACAAACTGTATAATGAAGCACATTAGCGAATTCCATGCACAGTATAAATCTTATTTTAAACTGTATATTAAAGATGAATTTGTGTTCTATTAGAGTTTTTACATGAGATGTGCAGCCGTTACAATCACACAGCCTATTCACACAGACAGAACAAAACTGGACGAGCCACATCCCCCACAGAAGGCCATGCTGTCAGGCGTTGTAAGAGGAGACTCTTCTATGCTTGCTTTTCAGCAACACCTCAACGAGTTGATGACCAAGAAGTGGCTTTCAGGATCGAATGCTGTGGACATCATCTGTGTTACCGTGGAAGACTATTTCAATGACTTTGCCAAGATTAAGAATCCATATAAAACGGTGGGTGTGTGGCATGCTGCAGACCTTCCAATTTGGAGGGTTCTGGGTTAAAGTACAGGTTTTTGTCCTGAGCTTTTCCTGGTGGTTTTACACACCCAGGGAGAGATGGAGTGTTCATCAAGGTTGGAGGCTAAAAGGCAGCTGCGGTGGAGGCTCTCAGCCAGCCTCACTCCTCCCCGCCCCGCTGCACTGCCCACAGAGATTTTCTAAGAGGTGCTAACCAGGGGGGTGGGGGACAGCACGTCAGGGGACTAGGGTTGAATGGCACCAGGCCAGGGAACCGGGACGAAGCGATAGCCCAGTCTGCTGTTCTCAGCGTCTGCAGCCAGCACAAGTGCAGCTACTATCGGGCAGTCACGTGTCTGCAGCTGCTGGCTTCCCCTGAGACCACCCCACACAGCCATAGGCAGCTCTGGACCTGACCTGGAGGTGGGTCACCTTCCTTGCTTTGTGGATACGGAGGTATCTGACACAAAATAACGAGTGTTTCCAGGTATTGTTTGTGTCAACTAAACGGCTGGCTAGCCTGGGCCCTGGTGACACTGGATGACCGAAAGCAGAGGACACTTCAGTGTAGGAAAGTGTGGACATTCTGCAGTTCTGCTTTCCTTCACCAGACTGGCTGAGGGGCTTTTGTTTTCCATCTGATGTTCTGGGGTTGACTTAAGTGCTCTGCGTCGGTGGAGGTCGTCACTGTTTCTTACTTTGGTCAGTCCCAGTGGAGAGGTGATAGGGTCCCTGCATTCCTGAGAAGAGCTCAGCTTGGGGTCAGCTGCCCTGGCGTCCGCAGCCCATGAGCAGCGTGGACGGCTGGTATCTGTAGGGTGTCATTGGCTGATCTTCAGTAGATCATCAGGCCTAGTGCAGAAGCCCCGCTGAAGGGTTCAGCATCACCGCGTATGTCGGCCTCCATGACAGGCAGCTGGTGGCTCTGCAGGACGTACACTGACCGGGAATTGAACCTGGGTCTCCCACACACAAGGTGGGGTTTCTTCCTACCCTTGAACCACCTCTGTGCCCAAATCCAAGTCGCTCCTGACGTGTTACTGATTTGTGCTCGCTGTGTCCCGTCGTCTCTCTGTCCTGTGGGTTTCACTCACACAGCAGGAAGTGGCCTGCAGTTCTGCTGTGTGTCTCTAGTCTTCCCAGAAGCCCCATGGCTTCATTCATCTTTGCGCCTTTGGTATCTTTCTTTTTTTCCCTAATTTTGCTCAAAGTGCTATAACCCTAGAGACACGACATAGTGAATACCTAGTAACTACAAGTCAGAATACTACACGGGAAGTGTTGTAGGGTCCACACCCTGGGGAGTGTCCTCAGGAGCATCACTCTGTTGCTTACACTTAGCCCCTGCCCATGCGGCCTTTTCCTCTCAGGGATGAAGTCAGTTCCCTGCTTTGATGAATGGCCTGTCCTCTCTCCTGGGCGCACACATTCTGCAGACACGTTGTGTGTCTGGTGGTTGTGTTCACTGCTTTGTGGTGCCCTCTCGGGGCTGTGATTTCTCAGCCCCAGGGTGGGCTGTGTGGTAGCTGTTGTCCCCGTCACATATAACCTCCAGGTTAGACCCCGCAGGTCCCCCAGGGCTCCTGGGAACTGGTTTGTATTCCCCTCATCATATTGAGCCCAGGACCCTTTTCCTGTATGCCTTCCATGGCTTGTCCACTCCGCTACATACTAGCTCGGGGTTACTTTTGAGCAGTCATGCCCTTATTTGTAATATTGTCAAGTTTATCAAATTTTCTTTTATGGTTAGAGCTTTCTTGGCACCTTGAGAATTTTTCATCCTAAGTCACGAACCATATTAAAAGTTGATGCCGTGTGCCCACGTTGAGGGCTGTGTTCCAGCCGGGTTTCTCCTCCCTGCTCATTCTGCCTCAGCCTGTCCCTCTCTAAGGGCTCTTGTGCACCTTTCTTAACCTGGAAGCTCTGTGGTTGTGAGTCTCGCGGGGATGATGTGAATCTTGGGTAGGATTTCTATCCAAGGCATATAGGATCAGCACTGGACTGTGAACCACTAGGTCTCGGCAGCTCAAACCTGCCAGCTGCTCCTGTAAACTCTATACAGGGTCGCTGTGAGTGGAACCGACTGGACAGCACTTAACAACAACAACTACAACGTGAGACTGGGTCCCCCAGACAGGACTCACGTGTTTTCTCCCAGAGCCTGGCCCTGGCCCTGGGCTCGGCCACTCATGCGGTAGCGCTGTGGGCTGTGGCTGGTGGTGCAGGCTCTCCGGGCACCCCTTCACGTTGGGGTGACCAGCATAGTAAGTCTAATAAGTGAAGACTCAGTAAGTTCTCACAATTTTGCGTCTTTAACTTATTTTACATTCTGCCGGTCGTCCTGAGCAGAACGAGGCAGGACACTAACGAGCGCCCGCGTGTCCCCGCAGCGCGTGGTGGTGGAGGCGCACTGGCGCGTCGTGGTGGAGTACCTGCGGGCTGTCATGCAGAAGCGCATCTCCTTCCGCGGCCCCGAGGAGCGCAAGGAGGGAGCTGAGCGCATGCTCAAGGAAGCTGAGCAGTTCCGCTTCCTGTTCCGGAAGCTGGCATCGGTGAGAACTGGGCCCAACCCCTGTGACGGAGGGAAGCAGGGACCGCCAGTGGGTCGTGCCCAGATATCCAGGCAGCCATAGTAACACCTGCCCCCGACGGCTGTGGTGTGTAGCCACCGAGTCGACCCAGGATCTTCCTAGCCTCCCTGTACCACGCCCTGGGGCAGCCCCCCGACTCGGAATGAGCCCGCCCAGGTCCCCCCTCAAAATGAGACCTTTCTTGCTCCCTGCTTGGCGTCCTTGTGTGGCATTGAAAGCTAAGCACTGGACAACTAACCATAAAGTTGGTGGTTCAAAGCTACCACCTACTCCTTGGAGACCCTAAACAGGGTTACTATGAATCATAACCAACTTCGGGGCATTTAACAACGAAATGTACCCCCCTGTCCCCCCCCCCCACACTTGAACCCAGCCCTGCCCTGTCTCCTTTGGGGCTGTGTGGACATGGTCCTGTTTCCCCAGGGGGTTGGGGAGGACGTGGACGGGCACTGCGACGCCATCGTGGCCATTGCAGAGGTCATTAAGCTCACGGACCCTTCCCTGCTCTACCTGGAGGTCTCAACTCTGGTCAGCAAGTACCCAGATATCAGGTAACAGCTCTGGGGGAGCCTCGAGAGGGCAGGTAGCCACGCGGCTGTGAAAGCTTTGTCTCCACTGTCACATGTGTCTTCCAGTCAGAGTGGGGTCCTAGTCCTGCTGTTACATATACCTGGCACGGGTGATGGTGGTGGTGGGGGGGAACGGCCCCCTGGGCTCAGTTTGTCTATGTGGTTAGGAAGGTGGCTGGGTCTGTCCAGGCGGTGGGCATCAGGTGCATGTCTGCCCCTCCCCAGGGATGAACACATCGGTGCACTGCTGACAATGCGAGGGGATGCCACCCGGGACATGAAGCAGACCATCATTGAGACACTGGAGCAAGGCCAGACACAGACGAACCCCAACTACGTGCCCCTCTTCAAGGAGATCATCGTGCCAAGTCTGAATGTGACCAAGCTCCTGAAGTAACTCTCAGCTAGTTTGTGTGTAGATCCTCCTGGTCGCATTTCAGCCCTCCAGCATTCCCTCGAGGACTCGGGTCTGCCCTGCTGACGTGTGGGCACCTATCTTCAGGGCTGCATTTGATGATGGCTCTTGACGAACCAAGTGTTCTGACAGCCAAGCCTCGCCGGCAGCTGGACTCTAAGCAAGGTGCCTGAGGGAGTGGGGTGGGGTGCACAGTGAGCAGGCGTGGCCTGTGCCCTATGAGCTATGAATGTACCCCTTCATTAAAGAGGCTGCCATCCCAGCACCCAGCTCCCACCCTGATTCCCTAAAGAAAGGGAGCTGGACCTCATCCATGGGCAGACACCAGGGTGCGTGGAGGCGGGGTCCCCAAGCTTGACACTACCCTCAGGACCCCACCTCCCAGAGAGGGTGGACATCTGGCCTGGTGGGTGCTGCCAGAGACATTCTAACAGGAAGAGGTCAGTGTTGGGAGCCAAAGTTTGGAGGCGTGGTATGGTGCTGCAGTTTAAGGTGCAAGGCCGGGGATCCTCGGAACGCTGTACAGGGTCACTATGAGGATCCACTGCACGGCACACCGAGAACTTTGGAGAAGCACACATGAAAAGTCACACTTAATTGGTGTCATGTATTTTAAGATGTATCCATTTTGATGCTTCTTAATGACCCACAGCCCCCTAATGCCCCCTTTCTACTATGTAGCCTCTCTGCAGGGTCTTCAGCAGTGCTAGGGGCAGTTCCACATTATTTATTCCTTGTGTTTAAAAACTGCAGCCACACTAAAAGACACCCCCTGCACTTCCCCCAGCCCTTCCTCAGTCTCACCAGCCCCTTTCCACCTCCACCCTCCACATCCTCTTTCCCTCCTTCCTCCTTCCTTGTTTTGGGTCTTCCTGAGACTGCCAGCTTGCTGGGGGTAAAGGAACCCGGGGAAGAAGCCTGCCTGGAGCAGGGGTCCAGAGGCCGGTACAGTGCTGCTGGGGGAAGCTGTGGCTCTGACTGAGATGTGCTCATCTATAAAAATACTCTGCAGTGCCGTTCAAAGACAACTTCCCAACTTAGGTCGTCTCCTGGATTCTCAGTTTTCTTCAGTAGGCGTCCCCGGAAAAGGGAAACTGTCTTGGGGCTCCTGAGCCTCAGTGCCTCCCACTTCTTCCTCCAGCCCCGGGAGGGAGTGCAGGGGCCTCTTCTCAGAAGGGAGGCGCTCTGGCAGCTTGGACATACCCTCTTGCATCACTATCTGAGGCTGCTTTATAGCAACTTGAAAATGACTGGTTTCTGGAAAACCAACTCTGGATCGGCTGCCTATGGGCAGTTTTTGTTTTCTCAGCATTTAAATACTGACATGTAGAGCTCAGAAGGCCTGTGGGAAAGACTGAGGCGGTGCCCTGTGGGGAGGGGTTGCTTCTTGTTAGGTGCCATCGAGTTGGTACCGACTCATAGCGACCCTATGCACAGCAAAACGAAACACTGCCCGGTCCTGGGCCAACCTCACTACTGTTGCCGCGCTTGAGCCCATTGATGCTGCCACTTGGCCAGTCCATCTCGTTGGGGGGTCTTCCTCTTTTTCTCTGACCCTCCACCTTGCTAAACATGATATCCTCCAGCGACTAGTCCCTCCTGACAATATGTCCGAAGTATGAGAGATGAAGTTTGGCCATCTTGGCCTCCAAGGAGCACTCTGGATGCACTTTTTACAACACAGATCTGTTGGTTCTTTTGGCAGCCCATGGCACTTTCAATATTCTCCAACACCATAACTCATAGGCATCAATTCTTATACGATCTTCCTTATTCACTGTCCAGCTTTCGCATCCATATCAGGTTATTGAAAATACCATGGCTTGGGTCAGGCGCACCTTAGTCCTCAAGCTGGCATCTTTGCTCTTCAACACTTTAACAAGGTCTTGTGCAGCAGATTTGTCTAATGCAATATGTCCTTTGATTTGACTGCTGCTTCTGTGGGTGTTGATAGTTGATCCAAGAAGAATGATGTCCTTGACAACTTCAATCTTTTCTCCATTGATAAGAATGTTGTTTATTGGCCCAGTGGTGAGGATTGTTGTCTGTACATTGACAGGTAATCCATACTGACGGCTGTGCTCTTTGATCTTCAGTAAATATCTTAAGTCCCCTTCAGGAGCTCTGGTAGTGTAGAGGGTACAAATCCAAATCCGGGCTGTGAACCACAAGGTCAGCAGTTGGAAACTACCAGCAGTTCCGTGAGAGAAAGACGAGGCGTTCTGCTCCCGTAAGGATTTACAGCCTCAGAAACCCTGTGCGTGGATGGTCACTGTGAGTCGGAATCGGCTCCACGGCACTTAACAACAGCAGCTTTACTTTCAGCAAACAAGGTTGTATCATCTGGCTATCGCAGGTGGTTAATGAGTTTTCCTCCAGTCTGGGGCACACAGACCACTTTCTCTTCAGCCTACCCACAGCTCTGCCTCATTCACCAACTTCATCTCTGGCTGACCCCGAGACCCTCCTCACTGGTCGTCTTTCCTTTCTCCACTCTGTTCTAGAACACTTTTGAAAACCAATTCCCCCAAGTCACCTGCTGAGGCCTACAAGGTGCATATGTGGGTACAGTGCCTGCCCCCCATTATGCCTAACCCACTTGGGTTTTGGTGCCTCAGGAGCTCACCCTCATGCTTCCCAGCCACCACTGCTCCCAACCCCAGGCCTCTTGGTGTACGGGGGCTGATGGTTGGCCTTGGAGCCTCCGTTTGATCCCTGATCTTTCCCCAACATCAGGGAAGTGCTTCGCAGTGGCCAAACAGATGTCCTCCCGGCGTGTGGCCACACACTCGTGTCAGTATGGTGATGCCAGTTGGTGTTTGTGGGCTGCTGCCTGGGAGTTCTTGATAGGATTGCTCAAATCATTCACAAAGTTACCCAGAAATGCCTTGAAATATTTTAATAGGATCAATCCAGCAATCATTGTAAGAGTCTGATGAAGGCCCCGCCCCCAACCTAGACCTCTCTAACAGCACACGAGGGGCATCTGAAGGCACATCATGTGATTGGGATTACACAGTGACAAAGATGGCGTTCGCAAAAAATGTACACGACATATCACGACTCAACCACGTTCCACTTAAGTTGCTGTGAAATTCTACCCTTATTTCCTTTCACAACAGATCCCTGGGACACAGTATGTTGAATGCTAACAGTTCTCTTCGAGAAAACACAGAAGTGAGACAGTGACAAATGTGTGTACTTTATAGCGACAACAACCAAGTATGCCACAAAGTTCAGTATTAAATAAATAGGAAATTCTTTCCTAGTAAAAATTTTTACGAACAGTTTCCTAAGGAAATACATTCATGTGACTGCTTACATTCTGCTGCACGACAATGACGGATGACGAGTCTTCTCGTCTGAAATGTAACTATAGTACTAGGGTCCAGAACAGTGTGCAGATAGACTGGAACCTGCTGAATCCTTCCTTATGTAAGCAAGTGAAGTATGGGGAAGTGAGGGTTCCTCATCTGAAACTTCTGTTCCATTGTGGACGTGCTTAACTGTGTTGTGCACGTAAGCACAGAGGAAAACTCAAGCCTGAGGTTGAGTCAGGGAATCTTAGTTCAGTGGGTTTACTGCACATCTGCCATCTCTGACCTGCAGTGGGACAGCCAGGAGCCAACTGTCCAAGGCCATTTTCCTTGACAGGGGCCCTTGTGAGGGCAGCTAGAAGTGCTCGGCTGGCTCACTCTGGGCAGTAGGGAGGCACTTGGAAAGGCAGTTTTGATCCTTGTCACCAAGACTACTGCAGAGCAGATGTGTGGGCTGGTGGCCCTCGGATGTAGTGGGGACTCTGCCACAGGCTCGGCCTGTTCTAGACAAATTGTTCTTGGCAACGAGTGGGCAGTGCATACATTTCCGTAAAGATAGCAATTGATGGGTCTAGCTCATTGAGCAGGGATGGTCTTAGAGTTACTAGTTGGCAGATTTTGTTGCATAGATAGTGGCTGGATTTTATGCTCAAGAATTTATTAAGATGGTTACACAATGTAGAGAACAGTGACTGCACTTGCTATGTAATGGCTGAGCCAGTGACTCAAACACGGGAGAAAGCTGGACTCCTTCAACAAACCAACCTCTACCAGTGATGCCGCCAGCAACCACAGTTGTCTGCGTTGGTGAACAAACTCCACGATGCCGTTTTCCTTTTTCTTCTCCCTTTCACAGCAAAGCTATGGACAGAAAATTGTAGACCTTTTTTCCATCAAGGACTCAATGTGCAATATTGACACAATATAAACTGGAGAACTCACCTATGATTGCTTTGAGAACCTACAGTATCAGAAATTGATTATAAGACAAAATGAGTAATTTCATTTTCCTGAGCAAGAGAGTGTCTGGTTTGCTTTAGAAAAGATTATAGTAGGAGTGTCCTTGCATCCACTGTCCCTCAGTCCTCTCCTAGGGCGGCTGGGTCCAAAGCTTCCGAATCCAATGGACACGTGCCTCCGCAGAGAGTGGTGCCCTATGGGGGGGGGGGGGAGCAGCTCCCTGAGAGTTGGTAGGGGTGGGTGAGAGCGACTGGACTATGGCATCAGGGGGACAGGAGCAGGGTCAGAGACAAGGTGTCATCCTAAGGATGTGTCAGCGTCTGCTGAAGTCCCTCCACGTCTTCGACAAACGACGGCTTCGTGGGCAGTGCTCTGGTCCCTCTGCATGCTGAGCGTAAAGGCCAGACAGATCTGCAGTCCTTTGATTCCAGTCCCCACGTTGTTAAACACGTGTTGTTTGTGGAATTCACTGCCCCTTGCTGACTCCTTACCCAGCCGATGCTTACCACCCCCGCAGAACCACTGGACACTGAGCCCTGGGTGGGCGGGGGCACATCAGACGGGACTCTCAGAGAGTCAGAACCAGGGCCTGCTCTTTTGGGGCCCTGGTCCACATCCCCGGGCACACCCTTCCCTGGGCGTGCAGACACGCCCCGCCCCGCCATCGCGGGGTCAGTGCCCTCACAGCGGGGTCTCTTCCTGCTCCAGGTCGTGCGGCGGAGCGTGGCAAGAAGGCTGCAGCGAGGCCAGTTTCAGCAAAGCGGGACGGCGGCGTGCGCGAGGCCGCTGGAACGAGCGCCGACTGTTCACGCGGCGCGCTGCCGCCGACCTCGCGTGTGCGCTCAGCAGCCCCCGGCGCTCGGATCGTGGCTCCGCCCCTGGTGTGGACTCCACCCCCGACCCCGGCTCGCCGTCGGGCGTCTCGGAGGGCGCGTTGGGCTCGGTGGGATTCGCGGGCTCGGCGGGCGGCGTGGGGCTCGGGGCGCGCGGGCGCGGGCGCCGAGTGGGGAGCAAAGGCGACTCGGGGGCGGTTGGCGGCTCTTTGCGCGGGGAGGACTGTCCGGTCAAAGGCACGTCTGAGCTCGTGTCACCTGCGGGAGGACATAGAGTGAGCGGCGCTGGTGTCCTGGATACCCCCCAGCGAGAGCGCAAAACCCAGCAAAGCCTGGTCACTCCGCGCCACGCGCGTCCTCACCCTGGTACGGAGTCAGTGTGTTTTAGGGTTTCTGACCCTGCGGTCCACAAGATCACAGGTCGTCAAGGAAAACGTGTGAAATGGACCAGGACTGGGAAAGAGCGCAAGGTTCGATTCTAAGTGTTGCTGCTCCGGAGGTTAGTGCTAGCAGGGTCAAGGGCAGGAGTGGCTCCTAGCCGCCTTCCACTCGGTCTGCCTTGAGCCTTACAGCTGCCAAGTCCCTCACATGGGGGCTCAAGTCACAGGGAGAGACTTCCTGGGGGTCCACTCGAGGGAGGGTCCCAGATCTGATCTGGTCCACCTGGAATCCCTGCTTGAGTGGCTGCTGGCGTTCACAAAGACAGTCAGCCAAGGGGCCCCTCTATAGGAGGGTAATCCAGCACCGTGGTACCCGCTGTTACAGAAGATGGGGGTCAGGGCCAAAAGCAAAAGGATGAGTCCTGGGAAGGTCCTGAGAGCTGTCCACAGGAGGATGTGGTGCAGTGGTGTGACTGAGCGTGACTCACCTCATTTCTAGTCCTAAATATTGACCCAGGAGAAAGTCCAGTGTGGTTCATAAAGAAAACTCTTGTACCTGCCTAGCCTAACCCGCAGTGAAAGGGCTGGCTGTTTCCCGAGCTGGGCCTCACTGAGCGCTCATCTCATCCAATCATCCACAAGGAGAAAAATACCTTGTTTCTCTTCACTTCAACTGAGGGTGAGACCTAGCCGCAGCTAGACTCGACCCACCTAGGTGTCCCCCAAGTGAGTGTCTCCTCCTCCTCAGCGAGCACCCAAAGGAAGTGTAAAGTGGGGAAGATACCCAGCCGGTCACTCCCCCCAGACCTGCTGAATCAAGCTCCTTCTTCCTCGCTGCCCTCTCCTCTCTCGCCTCCCCTTTCCTCCGAGCTCTCCTGTCTGCTCTCTTGAGCTGGGAAGGCACCCACACACACATACACAGGCCCCTTGACACCCTTCCTCTGCACGCTTCTCTGTAGAAGACCAGTTGTTTGTGGTTACGTCAAGTTCTGACTCATAACTATGACACTCTATTGGGTTTCCAAGGCGGTAAATCTTTCTCCTGCAGTAGTGGCTGGTGGATTCGCAAAGTTCTGTCATGCTCCAGCATAGTGTCTATACCAAGGCCATATTTTCCAACCTTGTGGTTTGCACTCCAGAGTCACCACGCACCCATAGGAGGCTAGAGGGAACCGTTAAGTTATTCTCTCTTGGACCGCCTGCTCTGGGATAAACGGACAACCTAAAAGTAAATTCCAGTAAGGCAGCATGTTAAGAAGCCAGCTCCTCAAAACACCCAGAACTCTAGGACTTAGAGAGCAGAGAAGCAGGGGAACCGCCCACCCCGTCTCTGCAGCAGGGTAAGAGGCTGTGGAAAGAGAGAAGGAAGCGTCTGGAGAGAAAGTCCGCAGAAGTCCAGGCCCCACATGCCAGAGAGACCTGAAGAGAAAGAGATACAGCAGAAAGAGCGGGCGTTAGCGCAGCAGTTACATGTGCGTGGACTCAGGCAGCCCGGGCCGCGGAGCCTCCTCTGGGTCCCCGTCCGCCAGCAGGAAGGAGTCCGCCGACTTGGTGCTAAGCCGGATGGGCGTCAGTCTGCGGAAGTTGTCGGGCGAGCAGGGAATCTGCACCCGGGCCCGCTGGGAGGGCACCACTGTCTCCTCGGGAGACAACCACGGCGGCACCCTGGCTAGGATGCCTGGGTCCTCATCCGGGGAGAACACGGGGTTGTCAATTCCTAGGGGAGAGAGCAGCGGCTGCTAAGTCCGGCCCGCGCCTAGGCCTGGACGCACCGGGCTCCACACGTCCGCTTCCAATGACTGAGCCTGGTCCCATCGGGGACCCTCCCACTGCTGATCACCCTGACCATGAAGCACCCATCGATGAGTCCCTCATCCGCCATGTGTGCCCTCCAGGTTCCGGCAGGGCCTTTCCCCCCTAACAAAGAGGCTGTGGACCAGCCAGGGGCTGAGAGGTCAACCGGACTCCTGTGACTGAAAGCCTGGGGCTCCCGGAGGCACCCGCACCCAGCCTGCTTCTCCTGTGCCCACAGTCACAGGGCACCACTGACCACCTGCAGAGCACCGGAGGCTGGCCACCCTGGGTTCTGGGCCACTTCCTCCCCATGGCCTGGCCCCTCCAGTGGTCCCACCTGCTGTGGAGTCTGTCGTGCTGTCTTTGGTGACGTTGGCCAGGAACTCGATGCCTCCACTCATGTCTTCAGCCTCGTAAGGGTGGGTGTCCTCAGGGTCTGAGAGCTCCAGATCTGCTGCAGGGAGAGGGGATCCGGGAGGGCAAGGTGGGAGCCGCTGCTGGATGTTCTCAGGACAGGTCCTCCCGGGGCCAGGAGAGGCCACGGCGAGACCACGTCCTGCTGCAGAGCTCGGGTCTCCCCCACCCACACTCTGCCTGGTCACAGAACCAGGACAGGACGAGGCCCATGGGGTCTGCTTGCCCAGAGGGGCGCTTCTCTGTGGGCCTCGGGAACCCCAGGGCCCACTAACCCTCTACCCCAGCCCCGCCGCCATCCCAGGCACGGCCCCCTTGCTGCTCGCTTCTTACCTCGCTCCTTGATGGGGAGGTTGTGCAGCGGGGTCTCCATGGGCAGCTTCCCATTGGGGATACTGCTGTTCCTCTGGGAGATGCGGAGACAGGGGTCAGCACGACCCACCACCACGGAAGGGCAGGGTCATCCTGGGAGGCCTTCCCTGCCCCCACGGCCCCCACTGCCCTGCGCGCTGACCTCCATCTCTGTGATGATTCCCGCCCTCCAATGCCCTTAGTCCGGTGATGACCTCTATCCCTCAGGTTACGCCCCGATTCCCCCAGAAATGACCTGAAATGTGATCCCTGCCCCGCCCCTACCCTCTTCTGCGCGCGCTCCCGCTTGTACAGCTTGGCAGCCTTCTTGTTCTGACAGATGCCCAGCTTGGTGGACTTGAAGGACTCCAGGCGTTTCCGCATGGTCCGGTGGAAGATCTCCTTGTCCTGTTTCTCGTCCTCATTCGGTGAGAGCTCATGGCGGCTGTACAAGTGCTTGTACTACGAGGGAGCAGCGCCGAGTCCACCGACCCGCTCGCCAGCGCCCCCTTGAGGAGCCTCCGTGCGGACCGTCCCCCCACTCCCGCCCCCAGGCCCCACCGGCACGCACTTCCTGCCGTGGCTTGTACAGGTACTGCTGCAGCGTGTGGTGGGTCACCATGTCCTCTGTGTCGCGAATGCTCCTCCGCCGCTGCTCCAGCGACTGCATGTCCAGACAGACGGCGCTGACGTTCTCTCGCCTGTCAGGGGCGCAGACAACGCGTGTCCCAGAGCTGCACCTACCCCGCAGACTGACACCCATTACCCCTCGGCATGCACAGGCCCTGGTCCCCAGTGGACGCTGAACACAACACACGTGAGATGGACACTGAAGAGACCCAAGAAAAGGCCTCAGCTGTTCGCAGGCTCCGCAGGGCCCAGACTAGGCAGGAGGCCCCAAAGCTGGGCCCCACAGGGGTTGCCTGGTGGGAACGCAGGCGATTGGCCCTCTGCCCCTTGCCAACTGCTGCCCATTGCTTCCTGTCCCTCCCTCCTCCCTCCCTCTTCTCTTCTGTCCTCCTCCCCCTCCCTCTGCCCTTCTCTGTCCCTCCTCCCTTTCTTCTCCCTCCCTCCTTCTCTTCCTCTTTCCTCCCTCCCCGCTCCTTTTTTCCCATCTCCCTCCTCTCTCCACTATGGGCAATGCAAACACAAACATAATCTTGCTCCTTGGTCAATAAGAGAGACATGCGTGGCACTCCCATGGGCTTCCTTCCAGTTGGGAGCCCAGACTAGCCCCTGCTTACAACCCTGATTGCTCCCAGATGCTAATGGCTAGTGTATGTCCTGAGAGGCCTTGCTGACCAGCTGTGGTCAGGAGGACTGGGGCTGGTGGACCAACCATGAGCCCCGAGCATGGGCACATACAGAAGGTAGGAAACAGAGGCCTCCACGGTGGATGGCCGTGGCGTGCTGAAGTCCACATTAACCATGTTGTCTGTGCTCGGTGAGCGGATGAAGGCTAGGGACCCCCGACGTTCGCCCTGCAAGGAGAAACAGCCAGGTGTGTGTGTTTCTGTGCATGGACACATGCCTGCACACACATGCATGTGACTTGGGAGCTTATGGGAGAGAAGACACGGGCTAAGGGTCTAAGGACCTGGGCTCACATCTCAGACCCTCCACCACGGTCAGCTATGTGCTCTACAGAAAGCCACCTGGGGTCACCTGCTGTCTGCCAAATGCAGGGTGTCAGAGGGCTCGTGAACCCTGTGGGACCTTGCAGGCAGGTTATCCTGGAGAGCATGGTGTCCCCACAATGTCTCGGGGTACAGGAGGGGGATGAGGGTATACACAGAGTGGGGGCCATGACAGGACCACTGTCCCCCCCCTCCCCCCAGTTCCCGAGAGGAGCCATGTCCTAGACCCTGTCCAGCCAGGAGTACGTGCCCCTCGCCAACCTCAGCCACGTAGCTGATGGCATCTTTCAAGTTGAGTTCGTGGAAAACATTCAGGATCCTATCTCTGGACTTCTGGGCTGAGCGTCTCATGAGGACTTTGCTGAGGAATTTCCTGTCGAAGTTGGACCACCTGGGGGAGTCAGACATGGGCATTAGGTCCACCCAGAAGGGGCTCCCCCCCCCAGCTGCAGACTCCACAGGAAGCTTCTCCCCACGTGGTCAGTGATGCCACAAAGGCATTGGTAAAGCAGAAACAGGAGCCGTGCCGGACTAGTCTAGTATTTGTCTTTCTCATGAAGGCAGCTGTCAGGAAAGGTGGGGACTCCATCTTCCCAGTCTTAATATAACTTTGTCAACACTTGCTCCCTGATCTGCTGCAGTGAGGGTCACGTCCTACCGTGCAGAGCGGGGACAAGGGGCAAACAGATCTGGCTTCACTCTGACCCTGACAGGGAGCCAGGCCCAACAGACACAAGCGTCTGTTCAATGGAACAGAATTGGAAATTCAGGTCACTGGGGAAGGTGTCTAGGTCAGCCGGGGCAGGGAGGCAGGTCCAAGTTTGGGTGTCGCTCTGCACAAGGACCCCTGATGCCATGTCACCCAGATTCAGCTCTCGTCTAGCACTTACTGCACGGATATTTGGCGCAGGCTAATTTTTTGGCTTTGCCAAGGAGCCGGAAAGAAATTTAAGCAGTGCTTTCCAAGGGGGACATCGGCAAATCAAAGGGTCCCATTCTCCTCTGCCCGGTGCCCATCCTGACAATGACATCCACAGAGACCCTCCTTCACTTTGGGGAGGCCACACAGCCCCACCTCCGGGCTGTTTTCTTCAACTTTAAACATAATCAGTGAGTCTGAGATGACAATGCAGGGCAAATAGCGTACAACTGACTTCAGGCCGACTTCAGAGAGCTTGTGGGTTTGGCTCCAGTGAATACAAAAGTCAGGCTTACGGTAGTCTAGTGAGTGTGCGTTATGAAAAAGTATGAAATATCGTGAGAGTGACCCAAATGTGACACACAGACGTGAAGTGAGAACAGTGGTCACCTTAGGCAGGTCCAGTGTGGCGTCGCTCCAAACCTTCAGTGTGTAAGGAAGACAGTATTTATGAAGCACCCTAACACAACGTGCCTGCATATTCTACTTACAGTGTGCATCGAAACATTACGACTGGAATTATTGTTAGCGATGTTCCAGTGTATCTGAAGGCGTTGCTTTCATATTTTTTCTGCATCGAGTCCTGGTGTGGCACTGGACCAGAAGTCCAGGGTAAGCACTGGACTACAAGGACACCCTATACAGGGTCGTTATGAGTTGGAACTGATACGTCAGCACTTAACAACAATGATGCATAGAAAGGAACACTGTATTCTAAGACAAACATTTGACTAATGGTAGATACAAACTGTACAAATTTGACTTAAAGATGTAGGAATGGAATTCGTTCATGATCTGGGTACTGCCTGTGCTTAATGAAACAGAACCAGCCACCGAGAATTTTAAGGACTTACATTACTAGATTTATTATAGTTTTAATTATAAAATGAATTTTTAAAATAAACTATAAGCCCAGGGTTTGAGTTTTATGGACAAAATAATTAGACAATGGAAGACTAATGGCAGGTTCCTGATTTTCCGTCACTGGCCAATCAGATGACTTGGAATTCTCTGTGCCCCTCACCCTCACCTCCTGGTGAAGTCTGGATGCACCTATGGTTCCCACCTCACATCCAGATGTCCTCTTGCCCTGAGCAGGTACCACAGAGATTGGACCAGCCCGGGTCTGCACACAGCGTGTGAACCGTCTCCTAGCTGGTTTTAGTTTCAGAATGCCCAGAAACTAGGCCTGGGGGGCACCTGGCTCCCAGTGACAGGGACCCTACATCAGGGCTGTTGGTTGAGGGGCTGGCCGGGAAGGAGCAGCGACAAGCAGAGCCTGAATTCCCTCCCTTGTGCAGCAGGGGGCGGTGTAAACCACTCACTTGTCTCTGAGGTAATTGTGTCCTATCTGGCCTGAGATGTCCTCAATGGCTGATAGAATGTGGTCAAAGGCCTTTTGAGGGAAGACATTGGTTAGTGCCCCTGGGACCGCCCAGCCCCCCGTCCCTGGCCCCCAGCCTCTGCCCCCTCACCCGGCCATGCAGCTTCTCGTTGAGTTTGGGTTCCCTGTGTTCACTTCTCTTCACCTTCAACCACTGCACCAGGGGCTTGATGGTCAGGCCCTGGGGGACAGGCATGTCCACGCTCAGGCCTCTGGAGCAGGTGCAGCTGGCTCCGCACAGCCCCAGTGCCCCGTGCCCACAGGTCCCCGACCCCGGACTATTTCTATGGAGAAGACCCCGCAGGGTCACCACCACAGCACTGAGGGGCCTGCCCAGCAAGCCAGGAAGGCTGATGTAACATTAACTGGCCTTGTTAATCAGCTACATCATCGGGGAGAACATTCTAGGACAAACCGTGTGGCGTCCCCTGTGGCCTTCCAGAGAACCTACAAAGCCTTCTCGTTACTAAAATTACAAAACCCAATTAAGGCCGTTGCCTCAGAGCCCTGGGTCATGGGTGCTTCTTCCCCCAGTCCCTCAGACCCGGGTGGTCAGCTGGTGGGGAGGGTGGCCTCGGGCAGTCTGTCCCCGGTGTGCTGAGCGAGGCCCACCTGGAAGATGACGGTGAAGAAGACCACGATGATGGTGGTGCTGACGAAGAGATTCTTCTCCTTGACCTTGTTCTCGTCCAGGAGGACCACCAGGGCATAGGCCACAGCCCCACGCAGGCCACCGTAGGACATGACCACCTGGTCGATGATCTCCAGCTGCACCATCCGGTAGCGGTTCAGCACCCAGGTCTGGAGGACTACACCTGTGGGTGGAGGTGTGTACTCAGCATCCTCCCAGGGGCCGTCCACAGGGGCCTGGACCTCAGCTGTGGCTCTGGGAGACACCTGGACAGTGTCTCTCAAAATTATGTCGGGGTCCTCACCCCAGGATCTGGGAAAGTGACCATTTGTAGGGTCTTTGGAGACGCTCTCAGTTAGGAAAACCTGAGGTCATACCAAGCCAAACGGAATGAAACCTCCGGCCGCCGAGTCTACCCCACTCTTGGCGGCCACCCGACACGACAGAGGACTTCTCCCAGCTTCTTCTGAAGCTGCACGTCTTTACGGGAACAGAAAGCGTCATCTTTCTTCTTCAGAGTTGCGGGTGGGTTTGAACTGCTGACCTTTAGGTTAGCTGCTCCATACTTAACCCCCTGCACCACCAGGGCTCATCCGGTCATCCCATAAGGAAGAACAATGAGACTGGTTGTCATCAAATTGGTTCCGACCTATGGTGACCTCTGTATTATTGAGTACAAGTACCCCCTAGGGTTTTCTTGGCTGTGATCTTTATAGGAGCGGATTTCCAGATCTTTCTGCGTAGTTACCGGGTGGACTCAAATCACCAATCGATAGACTAGTAAAGTCCACTGGCATCTTTCTGACTCATAACAGCTCCAGAGAGAGTAGAACTTCCTCGTACAGCTGCCAAGGCAGTTGCACTGTGGGTTAGGCACTGGGCTGCTAACCACAAGGTCGGCAGTTCAAACCCACCAGCTGCTCCATGGGAGAAAGATGAGACAGTCTGTTCCTGTGAGGATTTACAGCCTTGGAATCCCACTATAAAGTCACTGTGACCCTAACTGACTGCATGCAACAGGCTTGGCTTTGGGCTTTAATCTTTATGACAGCAGACAGCCGCATCTGTCAACAAGTGGCCAGCAGGGTCAAACCTCCAGCCTCCCGTTTAGCTGCTGAGCGCTTTAAGCATGGTGCCACCAGGAGTCCTAACCCTGTCTGAGTTAAGTGCCGTCGAGTCGGTTCCGACTCATAGCGACCCTCTATAGGGTTTCCGAGGAGCAGCTAGTGAGCTTGAACTGCCGACCTTACAGTTCAAACGGCTTTGCAGTCTGTGGTGTCCACGTGACAGAACTGCAGACAGATGCAGGGTCACGCAGGACCCTCCCCCAGAGCTCTGGCGACAGACAGTGTGGCCAACACCCTTATCTGAATTTCCTGACCCCAGCACCACAAGACACTAGACCTCTGTTCCTAGAAGCCTGGCAACCCCAGAGGACAACGTGCCCAGGGCCTTTCACAGTCTTCCCGAGGGAAATCCTGTGTTTGGGAAATTGTCCCCCACCTCCACAGTGACTGAGTGGCCACTGCTCGGGACAGCCACATCACTGGGGTATGTGTGGAATCTGGGCCTGTGACCAGCCCCCTGCAGAACACTACAGTGTCTCCTGTCTGTCCATCAGTCCCACCCCCTCACTGGCAGCCTTTGCAGGGCTCTGGATGCCACAACAGGGGGGCAGCGGACGGAATGGCCGCTGGCCCCATGGCATTTTCTCCCTGGAAGGCTTTGTGCCCAAGAAGTGGAGGTCAATTCCAGGGGAGCTCTTGTTTTGCAGTTCAGGTGACCAGAAGGTGACCAGAAGTCAGGAGGGGATGGGGGTCCCTGTGAAACGTTGAGGGTGGGCCTGAGCTCAGAGTGAGGCTGCGTGGAATCTCATCAGGACCCTAAGCCAGTGCTCCAGAGGATCCAGAACATTCCACCCTTGCTCCATCACTGTGTTGGGGTGGCTGAGTCTCTCCTCAGACTCCCTGGGACTTGACAGTCACAAGGTGAGCAGAGTTGTGAGTGTGGTCAGTCCCTGGAGCGCTGGGCTCTGCTGCTGTACAAGAGCCGGAACGATCTCCCCTCCCTCACGTTTAAGGTCCTATCCTGAGGGGACAGCACAGGCCGCCGGCCACCTGCCCTCCCTCAACCTTCCATGGAGGACCACCATGGCCCCTCTGTCACCATCTGTCTCTCGCCATACACACCACAGCCCTGTGTCCTGACTCCACCCTCCACCCTCCACCACCTCCCTCCACCTCCCACCACCTCCCTCCACCTCCCACCACCACCCAACCTCTTCCTCCATCTCTTTCCATTGCCCACCATCACCCGCCCATCCGCACCAATGGCACGATACACCGAGATGAAGACCAGCGTCAGGAGTACAAAGGCCGTGTTCCAGGTCCAGATGAGGGGGTCCACAGCCGAGATGCCCAGAAACATGAAGATGATGGTCTCAGCCCCGCTGGCCAGCATCTTCATGGTGTAGCGCACTGTAGTAGCCGACTGCTCGGAGATGTTGGCCTTCACATACTTCTGGCAGCAGATGCCACAGAAAGTGATCCTGGATGGCAGAAGGCCATGGGATGGGTGTGGGGCTGTGGCCCAGCCTGGCTGCTCCCACACAGCCCACCCTCTGCACGGCCTGGATCCCAGACGTGAGGGCCTCATGGGTCCATTTCTAAGGCCTGACCCTGGCCTGGACAGCTGCATTGCAGGCTTCTGTCCTCCTGGACAGACATTCCTCCTCCTCAGGGGCAGCCTTCTCTGATGCCCTTGGCCCAGTGACACCTCTCAGGGATCCCCCACCCCAGCCTACCCCCACACTCCAGGCTGCCCTCAGTGTCCTTAACACCCTGGGCATGATGGCTGTGTGTCCTTCACATGTGTGACACTGAATGGGGTAATTGTGGGAATCTCTACCCAGAGAGGAGGGAGCCTTGGTTGGATGTGGGCCCCCAGGTCACTGTAGGATGTGTGGAGGCACCAGCGGCCCCTTGGCTCAATGGCTGGGGAAGATGTTTCTGGAATGAGCTCTCATGCAAGCCCGGGCCAGCCTCTGCCAACAGTCAGGGAACGGGGCTCTTGGAGGCTCTGAAGCCATCAGCAGGAACGTCTGTGGCCTTGTCAACTTCTTTCCCAGTGCACAAATGGCCAGTCCTCAACGTGCTTTCTCGCCTTGGGGAAGCAGGGCTTCCTCCATGCCCTCAGCTGAGCTGACCAGTGCAGACCCAGCCCTCTCCCCCTTCCTCAGCCAGGTGGGTTTCAGCCTCTGCCCTGGACCTCCTGTCTGCCAGGTCCCCATGGCCCCCTTCCCACTTGCTGGTGGTCAGAGGGTGCTCTGGGTGTGGCCACCCTCTGCGTAGCATGGGCACTTACGCAAGGATGGCCGACAGGGATAGCATCTCGGAGGTGAGGTAGGACAGGTAGGAGATGACAAACACGAAGCCAGGCTCGATGATGCGGACATGCTTGGTGAATCGTGTCACCAGTGAGAGCAGGAAGGCGAAGACGATCCCCACCAGTGTGCCCCCCAGGCTGACCACGAAGAAGGACACTGTGGACACAGGCATGACTGAAGCCAGGAAAGGCCCTCTGTGCCCCTGAGAGCCACCCGCCCCAGACAAGGGGCCGATTCTCCTCCAGCAGCTTGCGTGTGTAGGGGGACGTGACCTACGGCGTGTGGGGTAGGAGCAAGGATCTAGTTCTTGGGGTGGGGGTGGGGGCTGTTGTAGCCTGTGGGTGCCCAGAACTGCACCCCACCCTCGTCTGTCAAACAGCACATGATCCAGGATGGCTGGGACCCAGTGAAAGTGTTTGTGGCTCTGGGGATGGGGCAGATGGGAAGGGATATGCCTGTCCCTGCTCAGATGGTCTGCGGGAGCCCGGCCTACATACCGAGGCCCTTCACACAGTCCACGCTGGTCACCTTGTCACTGCCCAGTGTCACGAACGATTCAAACACATTGTACAGGACCTGAGGGGAGAGGAGGCCAGAGGAGAAGTCTGGTCACCCTGGGTCCTCGTCAGCCCCTAGTGGGGCACAGAGGTCTGCAGTGAGGTGTTGCTGCAGTCATCTTCTGGGAACTCAAAGTTGTTGGGATGAAAATCACCCTGGGGTAGCATTAGTCATAAAAGGCCAACGATGAGGTGGGAGAACCTTCCAGAGCAAATGGAGCGGCCACCAAGCTGAGCCAATCTGTGTAACTACCACGTGGGTTTTCTCCGGACAGCCCACGGGGCTGCAGAGCACACCGCAGCCTTTGTATGGTGACATTTAAGTCCTATCCCACTGTCTCCCACTGTGCTATGTTCTCGGGGGAGGGGGGATGCAGAAGCCAACAGGCTGTGTCCCCCGGGAGTCCAGGACCATAACCCTCATCACAGGAGGGGCTGCCTGAGTGCCCCGATTCTGCATCATGAGCAGAGAGCAGAGAGCAGAGAGAGGGGTGTTTCGAAGGTAGGGTGGTGTGGGGTCAGGGAGCCGGAGGCTCATTTAGGAAGCATATAGGAAACGGCCTTCCTCTGCCTGTTAGTTCTCATACCCCCAAGAATGTGAGCTCGTCCACCAGATAAGAAGAGAACAGCAGAGGGGACCACGTTCTGGTGACACCCTAGTTCTCCACTCTCCTGAGCATTAAAGGGAGGGTCCCTGGACCCAAAGGGTCAGCTGCAAAGGGTGAACACACTGGCTGCTGACCAAAGGTGCCCTGGAAACCAGACCTGGTGATGGACTTCTGGAAAAGCAGGCACTGAAGGCCTCCAGAGCACAGTGCTGCTAGGACAAATTGGGGTCCCCTCCATAGCAAATGCCCCATTTATGCTCAAGGGCCAAGAGAAGGAGCCACAGGGGTCTCTGCGAGTACAGATCTGCTTGCCAGGAGGACATGCCTGCTGCATGCTGAGGCCATGTGACCATTTGCCTCCGAGCAGCTGAGACCCCGTGACCACGTGGGCTTGGACATCACCCGGCTGTGACCAGCCAGTAGTAGAATCTGTAGGTGGTAACCCTTGACCCTCCCTCTGTCCCTAGCCCCTTGTCCCCACCCTAGCTCCAACAGTGACAGAATTGTCAAGCATGCTCGCTCTGAAGGGAGGGAGCATGGCTGAGGGAGCAGGAAGAGCCAGCCTGGTCCAGTTAGATTTTGGCCAGCAAAATGGCCAGTTCTCACTCCCGCTTGCCATTTTCATTGAACAAACACAGAGATGGGGGAGCAGGTGCTGACGGAAGGCAGAGGGTCACGGAGTGCTCTCGCTGCAGGCAGGGGTTGGTTTCGCTTTGGGGTGCTAAGGCCCAGGCTGCTGGTGATATCAAGACAGTGGGGGCCCCAGCACTAGGCGGGAAGGACCGGCAGCAGGGATGCGTACTCGAGGAGGGTGCTCAGGTTGGCCCCAGCAGCCCACCATTTGCTCCCCCCCAGACAGAACCCTGCTGGCCCTCATCTCTGCTCTAGAATGAAGAGGGGTCTCAGAGCTACAGCTGGGCTGAGTGTGAAGATAGCACCAAGGAAACCAGCCCCACTGCCCGAGGCCCTCGCCGCCCCACATGGTCCGAGGCGGGCATCTTTATGGAGACAGGCCACTTCATCTTTCTCCCTTGGAGCGGAGGGCGGATTCGAACTACTGACCTTGCAGTTGGCAGTCTAGTGCTTTAACCAGCGGGCCACCAGGGCTCCCTGGAGGCAGCCCAAGGGTGTCTGGATTACCAGAGAGAATGGAGGGATCTCCTAATCCAGAAACCAATAACTGGGTAACCAAGAGGCAGCCGGTCAGCTTTGGTGGGAGGCGCAGGGGTCCCGTGCAGTGGCCACCCAGAGCTGGAAGGGCGCACTCACCACGGTGACAGCGTCATTCAGCAAGGACTCCCCAAACACGATGATGAACAGAACCTCATTGACATGCACCTCCTCAAACACAGCCAGTACAGCCACTGGGTCCACAGCTGCAATCAGACTGCCAAACAGCAGGAAGTCCAGCAGGCCGATCTTCAGGTCCCCTGGAAGACAGGCAGACGGCGGCTGTGAGGGGACACAGGGGCCGTGAGGGGACACAGGAGCCGTGAGGGGACACGGTGGCCATGAGGGGACATGGCACTGTGGGGCTGCTCAGACAGCCTGCCCTTCCTCCCACCCCATGTGCCCACTGGTTCAAGAGAGGCTGCTGTCGTCTGAGGGGACAGCCCAGTGTCCACACAGACTGACCATTCACTACTCCCTGGAGAACTCTCTCCTTCTCCACACTGGCCATGGCCCCACTGTCCAGCACCCCGTGAGCTCAGAGGTTCAGCCCTGGTCTCTGTGTTCTGACTCTGAGCACAGCAATGTCCCACAGTGGTCCCGCCATGCGGTGAGCTGCTGTCTGGGCACCTGGGTCAGGTGTGTGGGGCAGCCCAGCATCAGAATCCAGCTTGCCCGGGGAGCACACATGGTCCCCAATGTCTGAGGACAAAGTCCCAGGTGACTGACGCTCTGGACAGGGACCTGTGGTCCTCTCTCATGTCTCCTCAGCGCCCAGCACCCGGGGTCTTATGTGTGGGGTGGACCACAGGGCTGCTTGCTCAGACGCTGTGACAGGGCGCCCCTGTGAGCAGTTCAGTGGGTGCGTGTGAGACCGCACCCTGCTTGGTGTTGGGTCCCACGCCCTGGGAGGCAAACGAAGGTGATGAAGTAAGTACCCAGGTCATGCTGGGGCATAGGGTGAGATCTCTGATTCCGTGTTCCCTGGGGGTCTGGGGGCGACCTTGGTCAAAGGGGCACCTTCTCTTTTCTCTGGGGATATGGAGCTCTTCCTGATGTGGGGAGCAGACCTCAGAGACCAATGTGGACGGGGCCTCAGCTCAGACCCCCAGGCAGGTTTACATGGACAGAGAATTCCCAGTGTATGGTCCTGTGTCCAGCTGACCCCACCCCTGCACACTCACCCATCAGCCCGCTGAGGAAGACCCCGTAGAGGGACAGACCCGTGGTGGCAGCGTTCCACACGGTGCCTATGACAGCATAGAGCAGGATGGTGCCCAGGTTGCCGAAGAAGAGACGGTTGGGCATGAAGTAGCCAGCATCCAGCACGATGGGTGGTAGCAGGTAGAAGAAGAAGACAGTGGGCGTGAGCGTGAAGGAGGCGATGTGGTCAGCTGCCCAGACGATGCCGCCCAGCACCAGGCCCAGCACGATCAGCAGTGCGCTCTCAGGGACCACGCTGGTGACTTTGTGGGACAGGTGGAACACTGTAGGGGAGGGGCTGAGCATGAGCGGGACCCCTGCCTTCGTGTGATTTTGCCAACACACACAAGTGCATGGACCACGGGAGATGGGCCCTGGGAGGGACACTGCCCCTGGACCCTCCCCAAGGGAGAGGCTGTGATCCAGGGTAATGCTGGGTGGGGTGGGGTGGGGGTTAGTGACTGGGCACCAGTCTGCCTCCTTTTGCCCCGACCTGTGAGCGGAACCCCCCACTCTTTCCCATGCCAGGTACCACACGGGCTCAGCCAATCTGTCTACCTCCTCCCACCCAGAGCCACCCTTAAGAGATCACTGCCACCCTGCCGCCATCCTGCCTGACTCATAGAAGCCCAAGGTCAGGGTCTCCATGACTCCCAACCAGTTCTCCGTTTCAGGGTCCTGTCAGCTGAGTGGGGCAGTGAGGCCCAGCCTCCCTTTGGTTCTAGCTCTTGGCTGACTCCTTTGGTCTGGGCACTGCATTGGGTTAGCTTTTTCATTCACTAGTGTGCTTTCTCTTAACTGAAAAGACTGTGAAATTCAAAGGAGAGTTATCTCCTGAGATAGCCTTAGCTCTCTAGTGGAGTGGTTGACTTTCCGGGGGCCACTGGTGGTGGGGGAGGGGAGAACACGGACACTTCCCCACCCACCCCCAGTCCCTGCCCAGCCAGCGAGCCTAGCAGCCTGCTCCAGACCCCGCCCCACCGAAAGGCCCCGCCCCTCCCGGGAAGGCCCCGCCCCTCCAGCAAGGCCCCGCCCCATGTCAGAGCAGGGGTGGCGGGTCCGCCCTATTTCACATTGCGGTTCTCTTACCCAACTCCCTGACAAACCAGGTCAACTCCACCCACTCCCAGGCTGTGTCCTCACCTGTAATTACGGGGTCTCACAGAGGAGTTCCCCACACGCCCTGGATAGGAGGGGCTGTTGGCATCCCGGCTGATTCTTTCCTAGTGGACTGCCTTACCCAGGCATGGAAGTTCCCACCCTCTGGGCCTGGCCGCGGCCACACCTGATCCCAGGGTGGAGGTCACTGAGTTGGGGGTGCCTCTCTGTTACATGATCTCTCTTAGCTCCCATGTCCCCACCATTTTCAAGTCTCAGGAGGGGCTGAGGGAGGGGCCAGCCCTCACAGGAGGACAGGACCTTCCTAGGTCTCAGAGGTGCCTGTCGGGCTCCTGCATTCACACCCTGAAGACCCTGCCAGGGGGCGCTCTGGAGGAGGTAGGTGGGCTGGGTGGGTCAACTCTTGGGGCTGGGTTAGCAAGGACAGACCAGGGGCTGCCTCATCACTGCCCTGCCCAGTCCCTCTCCAGCTCCTTGCTGTCTCTGGGCCCCAACAAGCTCTGTCCTGGGATTGGGTACTGAGGAGGAGGAGAAGGCTGTGGTTAAGGACTCGGGGGTGGGGGAGTGGGGGGAAGGCTGGCAGTCTGTGTTGAACACCCCAATTATATTCATCTGCATTCATACTGCAAGTTGTTAAGAACAGGGAGGACACCTTCCCTCGCTGCCCCAGGGTTCACAGTGCCCTAACACTGGTAGCATTCTGATCAAGGCTCCATTTTTCCCTCTAGAACTTTCCGCAGCTCAGAAGGACCCTGGGTAGGGATCTGCTCAGCCCTCTGGGGTCTCTTGCATGGCTGGGATGCACAGGAATCCTGGGAAGAGGCACTGCTCTGACCCGGTGACTAATACATCACAGAGGTGCGGTACCTAAGCAAGGGAGATCGGCTTCTGGACACAGTGGGCCAGTTCCCAGGAGCCCTCGGCAGCACTGGTACAGCATGTTCCCCCAGAGGTGACCTCTCCAGGCTTGGGGTAAGGAAGGGTGAGTGTCTCACATGGCCCGGGTCCTGGGTCCCAGAAAGACCTAGTGCACCTGGATCTGGTGAACATAGGGCTGAGGGTGGTAGGACCACTGCAGCTCCCCATCAGCTGACCCCCCCATCAGTTCCATGGACCCCATTACTGTCAGGGAATCTGCATGCAGGACACCAGCCCCAGGATCTCTCTGCTTTGGGAAAAGACTTGTGAGGAGCATCTTTCATTTCCCTAAGGGAGAATGATTACTCTACGTGTGTATGCTATGCCAGATGGACCACCTAATGCATGATGGGAGAATCCCTGCAGGCCCTGACAGCTGTACCAGGTGCATGATGGGAGAATCCAGGCAGCTCCCAGATGGCTGTTCCCAGGGTAAGAAGGATGGGAAAATCCCTTGGGATCCCAGATGGCTTCTCCCAGGTCATGATGGGAAATTCCCTGTGGACCCACACGACACCAGGGAGGACCACTGCTCCAGAGCATCACAGGAGGAATTCTGGTGGACCCCAGATCCCACTCCCAGGCACGTGTACCGAGCAGGTCCTGGCTGGACCACCAGGGAGCTGTGCTGTGACGTTCTTTCGGTGCTTGGTGGGTCATCCCACCCCCCGCATCCCCACAAGAATCCCTGGTGGGTTCCAAGCTGTGTATTTCCTGGGCTGTGGGGTCTAGGGCTGAGTCCATCGGCTGCTGTGTTACACGCTGTGTGGTAACTGCTCTTTCACATCTGGCAAGGTTCTGTTGGAACTGCATTTTTGATCCCCTATCTCACATGTTTCTGTCCCTGTTTCCGGGTCACATGTACAGGGAGGAGCTAGGGGAAGGTGCTTCTCCAATAAAGCTTACGAGTGGCATGGGAGGCTTGTGACCCCTCAGTACCCATGGGTCTGTGGGCCTCTTGGAGGATAAAATTCCAGGGACTGAAAGAGACGACGTGTTCCCATGAGATTTGCACGGCTAGTCAGCAGGTGCCTGGGTCAGCCTTGGGCAGGACGCTGGAGAGCTCAGAAAGTGGTAGCAAGGTGACAGACAGTCTCTGTGTCCACACACTCTTTCGAAGTTGCAAGGTAAGGCCTAGCTGTGATGAGGCCATTTGAATTTTCTCCAGTGACTGTTGGGCTAGGTTCTGCTCCAGCAAGGCAGGGAGGGTGTGCTGAAACTAGCTGGTCTTCAACAACAACAACAAAACTTTACACTTCAGGAACGCAAAGTACTCTTCAAGGCTATCGGCCTAATCCTGGCCACATTCCTGAATGGCAGCTGGTTACTACAAAATCTTATTAATTTGGAAAACGGGTGAATGGGAGGCAACCTGACTTCAGATCGCACAGTCTTATTCAGAAATCAGCCCCTAAAATCCACAGAAAAAAATATCAACTTTGAACCTGATGAGTTAAAAAAAAAAAAAAAAGAAGAAAAGATAGATATTCTGAAATAGATTATTTCCAGCCTTCTGCCATCCTAAACAATGCTGAAAAGAACACACCACAGTCCACAGATGCAAGAATATTCGAAGAGTGGAGTCATGGGGTGACATGTGCCAACCAGCTGGCCCAGCATTCTCAGGGGGTTGGCAGGTATGCAATGATGATGTGCTCACCCTTCATGATGTGATTGGATAGTCAATGCCTGACAAAGGGTGTTACACCTCATCCCAGTCAGGTGCAAAGGAATTAGGATGCCCTGCAACACCCTTCCTCAGGTCCCAGCCCAGATCCCATGGAAGAGGAGTTTCCCTGGGGTGTAGCCTCCATCACCTTTTGTCTTACAGGAGGAAACAGAGAGAGAAGTGAGCAGAGGAGAGGGACCAGCCTCCCACCCAGAAAGAAGAGCAGAGCAGATATTTTGGACCCGACATCCCTGTGTGAGAACCTCCTAGACCCAAGGGCCCCCACACATCTGTCAGTTTGTTGTACTGTGGTGACTTGCATGTGGCTGTGATTCTGGAATCTATGCCAAGCTAAATACCAGCAGGGTCACTCACGGTGGGCAGGTTTCAGATGAGCTTCCAGAGGGAGGAGGAAGGAGAGCCAGAGGAAGGTGATGCCAAGACACCTGGAGATCTCCAAGGAATTCTGGGCTCACCGATGTGGGCAGGGGACAAGGGCCTTCCCCCAGAGCCACCCGAGAGGGAGAGTCTTCCTCTCGAGCTAATGCCCTGAATATAGACTTCTAACCACTGAAGCTACGAGTGAAGAAATCTCTGTTCGTTGGAACTATCCATTGAAGCATCGTTATAATAGTAATAGAGAATTAAGACAGGTGAGTTCGCGGACATGGAACTGCTCGGTTGAGAGGTACATGCACCTCTAATTTTGAGAGGCAGCTGCCTTCTTCTGAGTTCAGAGGGCCTAGCACATGCCTCCCACAGGGGCCTTCTTACCCACACCTGTCTCCAACATGACTTGCAGTCAGCAGGTGAAAAACCAGTCCTGTGTAGGTTCGTGCCAACGTCTGCTTCTTATGACTGAGGTCTGAGCCCTCTTTCATGACACTCTCCTTCTCTGTAAACCATGGATTTGCAGCATCTCCACATCCCTTCGCCAGAACTTTGTCCTTTTCTTTCATCCGTGGTTCTTATCGGTAGCACTGTGGTTGAGGGTGTGGGCCATCCTCTCTTTCAAATATACCAGCACTTGTCTTTCCCTGTGTTTTGTTTGACCCCATGCACCCACTCAAAAACGTACTGCCTTCAAGTCAGTTCTGTTCCATAGCAACTGCCCCGTGGAGTTTCCGAGGCTGTAATGTTTACAGAACCAGAGCAGCGGGTGGGTGGGTTCAAAGCCCCAACCTTTCTGGTAGAAGCAGTGTCTAGCCCACAGAGCACACATGTGCTGTTTCATGGTTAAGATGCTCTGGCTCCTGAGTCCAGTTTAAGAAGTCTTCCTATCCCTACGTATTTTACTGAAACATTTTTGGTTTATGCTTCTTTTTCAAAATAAAAAGGCATCCAATTTCATTTTACTTAAATTTAACAAAGAAAAGATTAAAAAAAAAAATAGATGTGGAACTGAAGGATTCAATTTCAGAAAGCCTCCTCCAGCGATTTCTATTCCTAGGGTCCTCTTTGAACTAGAGGGAGACCCCAGCCCACAGACCCCCTCCATGCTCCCATGAGGCTTAGCTCCACCTGGCTACCTGGTGGTTCTTCATCAATGACGCTGTCACTTAAATTTTCACACGACCA